CGAGGCCATGCCTGTTGTGGAGTGCGCTCTAACACCTAAAGGACACTTCAAGCCTTTAGACGTTGTAGCCGAAGCAACGGTTATCCCGCTAGACCAAGCCCACGACGAGGCCATGCCTCTTGTGGAGTGCGCTCTAACACCTAAAGGACACTTCAAGCCTTTAGACGCGTATGCCAGCGCTATGGCATCAACTATCCATCTGGATAGGCTCTGTTTCGATGCGGCTAGTCCCTTAGTACGTCCGCTGAACGAAACGAAGAGCTGCTCAGTCTGTCTTAAAACAGACGAGCGAGACACATAAGATCTTAATGCCCTGACTGGGCAAAGGAAGCTCGCATCCTTTTCCTCGTTGTAAACCGGCAGGGCAGACAGGGAAATAACCTGAGCCCTGAACGGTGTGTTGAGGGATTTAGGCACGTATCCGTGTCTTGGTTTGAGTATGCTTTCGAGTCATTTAGCCCAAATTCCATACACGTCGCGCTTACTGAGAGCGCTTGTAAATCCCCTATGCGCTTCACTGAAGCAAGAGCCATAAGAAACACTGTCTTGAATGACGGATGTTTCATGTCCGACAAGTGGATTGGCTCGAATGGGGCACCTTTCATGGCTTCCAAAACCGTGGAAAGGTCCCACATGGGGACTGAGGGGGGTCTGGGAGGATTCAGCCTCTTAGCTCCTTTAAGGAAGCGGATGACCAGATTGTTCTTCCCCAGTGACTGGCCAGTCACGGGTTTTGTAAACGCTGCTAAGGCCGCCACATAAACTTTGAGCATGGATGGGGTTCTGCCCTTACCCAGTAGCAAGGAAGGAGAGAACTTCCGTAACCCCGCAGTCTAGGGGTAAAAAGCCTCGGGCTTTGCACCAGCCAGAAAACACAGACCATTTTGAGGATTAGAGCGTCTAGTAGACGGCGCTCTAGCCTACGTGATCGTGTTTAACACTCCCTCTGGGAGGTTTGCGGGTACCCGTTGATGGCCCATGCATGCAGGGACCACAGCTCCGGGCGAGGATGCCAAATCGAGCCCTTGGCCTGAGAGAGGAGGTCTATCCTCGTCGGTATTGGCCATGGGGCAGTGCTTGTATCAAAACTGGGAGCCAAGCCTGATTTTTCCAGAGCGGAGCCACAAGTAGCACTGAGTATCCGTTTTCCCTGATTCGTTCCAATACCTGTGGCAGGAGCGAGACGGGGAAAAAGCATAGAGGGGGCAGCGGGGCCAGACGTGGGCCAGCGCATCCCTGCTCTTGGAGAAAAACTTCGGACAGTGAGCGTTTTCTTGGGACGCAAACAGGTCTACCTCCGCTCTGCCGAATGTCTCCCACAGCAGTAGGACCATCTGCGGGTGCAGAAACCATTCTCCTGCTGGAACATTGTTTCTGGACAGTCTATCTGGTCCCAAATTCAGGTGACCAGGCACATGTGCTCCTCTCAATGAGTGCAGATTGTGCTGAGCACAGACCAGGAGGCGTTCCGTCAGCCTGTAAAGGTTTCGGGACCTGACGCCACCCTGGCAATTTATGTAGGCCACCACTGACATGTTGTCCGAGCGGACCAAGACGTGGTGCCCTTTTATACGGGGACAAAGGCGCCTCAGCGCACTGTCGACTGCCATCATTTCTAGACAGTTTATGTGTAGGAGCTTCTCCCGTTCTGACCACTGGCCGAAGAACGGTCGGCCCTCGAGCAGCGCTCCCCATCCTGAGGTGGAGGCATCCGTGGACACCACTCTCACACTTGAGGAAGTCCCCAGGTTTACACCTGACTGGTACCAGTCGATTGCTCTCCAAGGTATCAGAGCTGTGACGCATTTCTGATCGACCTTGAGGCGAAACAGACCGGAGGCCCATGTCCGAGGTGGTACTTGCGCTTTTAGCCATAACTGCAGCGGGCGCATGCGAAGCAGACCCAACTGGGCGGGCAGAGGGGGGGAGTTCCACAGAGCTCGCCCAATCCTCACTGTCCGACGCCAGGATAGATCAGCTAACCTTCTCTACAGATGCAGCTATCTCGTCGTCATTAATGGCGGAGGCGGCGGCGGACATTGTCCGTCGGTGAGCGACTCGAGTGAAGCTGGTGAAGCTTGCGGGCGAACCGGCGAGCTTTCACGGGCTGGTGAAGGCTCGGGGACCCGCTGAGTACGGCGCTTTTTACGGCGCGGCACTATAGCGGGCGGAAGTGCAGACTCTGAGAAAAAATGCCAGGCGAGTCCTCAGAGTCACCATGGCAACAGCTCGCAATGATGTCAGCGAGCGCGAGAGCTGCATGATCCTTACCCAGGCAGGAAACGCAGATAGAGAGAGAGAGCGTGAGTCGCAGCGGCGAACACACACTCGGCAGAGTAAAAGGATATAAACGCCGGAAAGCGTAGCAGGTACGGCGACTGAAGGTGGCGAGATGAAGGCCAGCGGCTTCAAATGCAGAGGCTCGGCCCGCAGAAGCCTTTTTCTCAGACGGCGCCAGGGGCGAAAATTTCATCAAAATGTTGGGGGGGGACAATAAACATAACAATTCTCAAGAGCAATTTTTAAAGGGGACACCAATAATACAGGCAAAATTGTAAGGATATGTGTACACCGAGGAAAGCCTTACTACTATTATTAGTGTAGCATGGAGACCGTTCCAGTATCCTTCTTCTCAAAGTTTCTTTCTGGTTTAATGAAAAAGCTGACTAAATTGACCAAAAAAATTCTTCAAAACCATCATTTCTTTTGTAAATAAGTTGTTTTGTGTAAACAACTTATTTACAAAAAATGTATGGTTTTGAAGAATTTTTTGCCGGGTTTTCGCCTGGAAGGCTCTATAGAAATCTGGCACCCTATTGATCGAAGTTAAACTGAGAGAGCGTGCGTTCACAGACACCAGAATGAACGCATTCACAGTAACGTTCATCAGGCAGTAATACAGCACGTTCAGTTCACGTTCGCCCAAAATATGAACGAGTTCATGAACTATCGTTCAATGAACACGTTCAGGCACAACACTAATTAAATTATATAAACCGACTAAATCACAGTGAAAGCGTTAAAATCTAAATGCGCACCCGGACTAACGTAGTCTAATCTACAAGACTAACGTTACATCACGTATATGCGTACACTCTATGGGTGTGGGTGTGTGTGGGGGTATATACTGTATTAAACAAGCTAGGTAAACGTTATAATCGCTAACACAGACTACATCAGTGACAAAAGTACATTAGTACACAATCATATATTTGTTTTTTTACATGATTTATTAATGACTCAGCATCATCTATATTAAAGAGAAAATAATCACTTCATCCGATGTTTGAAGTGAATAAAATAACATTGACTTACTGGAGTTCCACAACTACTCAAAAACATAGTTCATCTCTCCCGCCACCGGAATGTGTGTGTGTGTGTGTCGGTGCTCGGTGCTGAGGTAAAAGGGGCGGAGGCAGTGGACCAAAGCACTGTGAGGCAAGGGAGGGGGGACTCAAAATGTTTAAAACGTTTTTTTTGTTGTTGCCCTGTTTGCATTTGTATTATTTTTTTTCTTAAACAATTATTTTAAGAATATATCATTATTTTATTTACAACACATATATTTTAATGATATTTTAGGGGGGACAACCCTCAGATAGGGGGGGTCCTGACCCCCCGACCCCCCCGCGATTTCCGCCTATGGACGGCGCGGCTTCTTCACTCCACATCCAGCGATGCGTGAGCTTCGCTGAAGAGAGGAAAAATCTGATTATATCAGCCCATCGAGCTATATTTATAGGCCCAGGCCACGCCTGCTTTGGCGGAAGGAGACGTAGTGGGCGCAAAGCACCCCCATTGGATCTGACGTCACCAAGGGCCTCTCTCGATAGGCTGCTGCAGTTGCCGCAGGACAGCCAATAGGCACGCGAGCCGCCTTGCCTATGTCTGCATGCTGCCACAACGTGTTTTACATTAATTCAAAATTAAGGATAATTTTTGGCTTCAATATCTCGTGGAAAAGAGGTTTTCCCCTAGCGTAAGATATTACGCAGTACGAGAGAACCTCTCGTAAGAGAACTAAGCTTTTAAATATCATCTTACATCTTATTGGCAGGTATTGATATTTACAGTATATAATTTTATGTAAGTACAAGACAGTACTTACTGTTATAAAGATCTTACTGATTTCATCTTGCATTTTGGCCATATGAATATCAGCATCTTCAGCAAATTGATATTTTTATTCATAATGGCATTTTATTGTTGATGAGCATAAAATCCAATTGGGTAAATAAACCCGATAAATTGGGTCCAATTGGGTTTTTTGCATGTGACTGATCTCACTCACACCACCTCGTCACTAATGTCCCTCTTTAGGCCAGAGAGTGAGCTTTACCTGCTCATCTTTCACTAGCTGGCCACAGTTACACTATACATTATGAACTCTGCCATCTAGTGTATGAATATTAGAAGGACAGTGTCATCTCTAATGAACACTCTAATGAACACATTTTTATTCCCCTTCCACTGTGTAAGGAAAAGCTGAGACTATTTGAGTACACATGATGTGAGAAAGATTCTAAACTCAAGTTTGGAATCAATAAGAAATCTCATTCATATCTTTTGGGATAGGATCCATATTGTGAAAACACATGTCTGATTTTTTTTTGTATTTCTTTGGTGTATACTATATATATTCCTATCATAATTTTATTTGTCATACCTGTATTAATGCATATTATAGTCTTTAATTATAATCTATAATACAATATAATACAATCTATACTTGTGTAGGCCTTTTTTTAAAGTATAGGCTACTGCACGTTTTCCTCCGTTAACCTTATCTGTAGCCTACACACTGATTTCACAAATGAGGCTGTACAGTATTCTAGCCTGTTTACTAATACGACTCTAGAGTATACAGTCATGTATGTAAAACACCCGTTAACGTTATTTAGTCATCCCCCTCCGCGGTCTCCTCCCCCCGCCCCCGAGCCCGCCCGCCCGCGCACGCGTTACGCACGAGAGTTTCCGTGTGTCCCGCGTCCGTGGGCAGCCCGTGCTGGACTATAAACGCGTCCGGTGAGCGGCTCTCCTCAGTCGCAGTCGAGCACGAGCAGCGCGAGCACCAGAGCACCAGAGCTGACCGGCAGAGCAGATAGCAGCACGCGAACGCGCACACTAACTCGCTCTCGGTTTGGATTTTGGGATGGAAACTCGTGCGACTACGCGGAGCGCTCGCGCCTCCAACACTCTTACCTTCAAGAGTAAGTCACTTTTGTACTGTAATTATCAGTTAATGTTTAATGATTATGCATCATTTTATTGGATGCATAATGACAGCCATTTATTGTATAGCCTACAACTTGTATTTTTTGGTCACATTTTAAAGCTTACAAGCTGAAAACACTAATCATTATAATTTTTTATGTTTGATAGATGCATATTTAAAGACATTCAATTGCATATCTAACTTTACAGACTATTGTGTATTTTACGTTACAAATAAATTGGTAACACTTTACAATAAGGTTCATTATTAACTAGTTAACATGAACTAAGAATGAACAATACTTCTTCAGCATTTATTAATCTTAGTTAATATTAATTTCAACATTAACTAATACGTTATTAAAATGCACTGTGAACTAACATGAACAAACAATGAACAGCTGTATTTTTATTAACTAACATTAACAAAAGATTAATAATTACTGTAACAAATGTATTGTTCATTGTTAGTTTATGTTAGTTAATACATTAACTAATGTTAACTAATGAACCTTATTGTAAAGTGTTACCAATACATGTAATATAAATAAATCAATCAATTTGTATCAGTTTGTATATTTTTTATATTGTAATAATATTTTATAAAAAATAAATAAATCAGAATTCATACATACACATTGTAGTGTAAAAACACATTTTTATGAACACTTTTGATGCAATCAGGATACATTTAGAATAATAATAATAATTTATTTACAATGGGAAAATTATAACTGTTAAAAAGCAGGTATACGCAATTATGCACAAATGGGACACAGTTAATTTTTCCACATTAGTGCTGTGCAGTGAATTAGTACAGCTTGTTCTAGAAGAGATGTGGAGTGACCAGGTCATGGGTCAACTAATAGGAAAATCTTGTGCTGGTCACATGAATGCACGCAGTATAATTAATTCACGCCGTGCGTGTCTTTAAGCGCCATGTTATTGTGTAGAGTTACCGGACACCGTGAGCTCCACTCTTAAATATTCATGAGCTGCAGTAATTGAATTGGGTTCGGTTTCACAAACCTGAAGTGAATCCAAGCATTTTGTTTCATGCAAACTGTCCTGTCATGTCCCGGATGGACAGAGTCTCAGACTGGACAGAACGGCTTTCGTCAAGCAGGACATATCTGGATATCACATTTTGGCTAGTTAACTGAGCAATGATACCTCAAATAGCATCTGTCACGTCATGTTTAATCCAGCATGACAAATGACATCTTCATGTCTGCATCCCTCCAGAACTTTCAGTAACTGTAGAAGCGCTTCCTCTCACAAGCGAACATGAAGCTCATGTTAAGTGTGTGCTCTTCTCTCTCCACAGGTGGTTTGTCTCTGTGGTTGGTGGTATGGCTGTTGGCATGTCGCTGTGCACCGGGCCAGGCGTGTCCCAGGCTGTGTGTGTGCTACCATACGCCCATGACTGTGAGCTGTCAGTCTCAGAACTACACCGCTGTTCCCACCGGCGTGCCCTACGACTCCCAGCGCGTCTTCTTGCAGAACAACCGTATCGCCGAGCTCAGAGCCGACTCCTTTGGCTTCGAAACACAGGTGAGGGTCCAGTCCTTGGTTCTGATTGGTCAATAGCTGTGTTTAATTCACGATAACACACGGCTATGACCGCTTCACCCAACGGTTCTCAACCACTCTTTGCAACGTAAACACATGTTTGATCTCATTGATATTGCTCATTAAAGCTTATAGAGTAGAGTATGGTGAGAGATCGAGTAAGCGAGTGTACCTGCACTTACAGTAGATATAGCATTTTCATTCTGTTTCGTCCTATATTTGTATTAAAAAATCTGTTTAAATGTCCGCTGGGATGTCTTGTCCTTTTAACAGCCAGTAACCGTATTTATAGTATTTTTATACTCGAGGTTAGCGCTGTGTGGTGAATAAGTCCTGACTTGAATAATGACTTATTCACCATACAGCACAGCCTCGAGTACCTTATTGCTTACGTAAACTTCATTGAGTTTTTTGGTGAAGATATGAGCAGAGGTTAATCTTTACCTTCTGAATCCGCAGGTCCTATGGCTGTACTCCAATAACATCACATGGATCGAAGCAGGAGCCTTCAGCAATCTGCGTGTCCTAGAGGAACTGGATTTGAGTGACAACCCTTCCCTGCGCAGGCTGGACGGGGGGGCGTTCAGGGGCCTGGAGCGCTTGCAGAGCCTCCACATGCACCGCTGCCACCTGACCGAGCTGCCCGCCGACCTGTTCCTCAAGCTCTACAGCCTGCAGTTCCTCTACCTGCAGGAGAACCAGCTGACACACCTCCCCGACGGACTCTTCTCCGACCTGGTCAACCTCACACACCTGTTCCTGCATGGCAATCGCATCCGCGTCCTCTCTGAGAACGCCTTCCGTGGCCTGGTGAATCTCGACCGGCTGCTGCTGCACGACAACCGCATCCGGCAGGTCCACCGACGGGCCTTCCGCGACCTGGGCCGATTGACCATCCTCTATCTCTTCAACAACACTCTGCAGGAGCTGCCGGGTCAGGTGTTGAAGGACACGTCCTCCGTGCAGTTCCTCAGGCTCAACGCCAACCCCTGGACCTGCGGATGTGAAGCCAGGTCGCTCTGGGAGTGGTTCCGCAAAGCTCGGATCTCCAGCTCAGACGTAACCTGCTCTTCACCCGCCCCGAGGAAAGGCCAGGACCTGAGATTCCTGCGGGAGCTGGACTTCGCGCTCTGCCCGTTGCCTGACCCAGGATCCATGGCTGGCACCACAACCACCACCTTCAGCACCAAGACTCGCTGGTGGATCTCAAAGAACAAGCCGGCCTCATCATCCAAGAGCCACTTTCACAAGAGCAGCGAGACCCAGAAGGCCTTTCCAGTCAAGCATCCCTCATCTTCATCCCCCTCCTTTTCCTCCAAGTATGACCTCACAGTGGAGGAGGCTGCTTTACCCAAGCTGGAGCCCGAAGAGTACTGGGCAAACTACGGCAACGAGGACGCAGCCTCAGTCCCCTGTTTCGAGCTCGAATGCCCACCCGGTTACGACTCTCCCGTCCTCCCATCTTCCTCCTCGGCCTCACTTCTGCCCTTCCTCTCGCTCACAGCACTGACTCTCTCTTTCCATCTGCTCTTCGGCTGAGCTTTCCTTCTCCTCCTCTTCCTCCTTTGTTATGCTCCACTACCTTTCTCCTGCGATCGGCTTATGCTGATTAATGCATAGAAGCAGCCATGCAGAAAAGGGTGACAAGACTGAATATAACAACACATGAAACACAACATACAGTAGAACAGAGACAGGGCTACTCCATGCATGCAGCACTACTCAAGTCACGTTCTTCTCTAGAATAAGAGAACACAGGGCAAGGAGACGAGTAAAGAGGAATATAGGGAGTCATGTGGAAAATGAAAGTAGAGGTAAAGGTCAATGAGGGAAGTCTCTAGACAGAGAGGAAAACTCTCATACCAGCAAATGAGACTATGTAAATTATCAATGAAAATCATATCATTGTGTAAATAGGAACATGCACATACTCAAAGACTTGCTGTTCCAACAGGAGCCTGAACATGCTAGTCAGTAGATCTCTTAGTCTTTTGAGTGATTGTTGGGTACCACACCAGATACTATATTCAAACTACTTAAGCTACACTTAAAATGACCACATTTACAAAAAAAACAACATTTCACAATTATAAAACAATTATAAAATGATAAAACAATAGAGCTATTCTAATTGGACACATTCATATTGATATTTTATTATATAATGCACTGATATTTTTTTAGGTGAATATTTTGGATCCATTTTTTGGGGGGCCATTGTAAATGATATGATGAAAAGATGAGCTAACGGAAGAATGAACTGACAGAGACCGTCACTAATGTTTTTCACGTGTTAAAACTGTGTCGAGTACTTTAGGTTGTGTTAGTTAACCTGAGTTGTGCCAGGCACTGCGGATATCAGGTGAAGTTAGAGCAGGAAGTCAATGTTTAATTCACCCTGAAGAAGTCAGGAACCACTTGAGGAGAGAGATCTGTGTTTTCTCTGTGTGTAAGATATCTCTTTCTGTCAGCACGTGTTCAGCTGTTTACAGAACAACATGTCAAACACAATCATGCTTTGTCTTAAAAAACTTGTAAATAAAAATCAATAAATAAATATTCATTATCTTTGCCATATTATTGAGTGCCATCACATTGCTGTATTTGATCTGTTGCTGTGTGTGTGTGTGTGTGTGTGTGTGTGTGTGTGTGTGTGTGTGTGTGTGTGTGTGTGTGTGTGTGTGTGTGTGTGTGTGTGTGTGTGTGTGTGTGTGTTGTGTGTGTGTTTGAGCAAGATGGTGATGGAGAAGTGATCAATCTGATTTTTAAATCTTTCTCCATTGTTTAAATTGCAAAATTCAAAAATTGCCACACACACACACACAAACACAAACAAAATGTAAATCCCAAGTACCCACATAGCAACATTGTGACGGCCCAGATCTGGCACACGTGGAAAGATGATCTGGCCCATATGCAGCGTGGAATGACGGCCCTTGTGTGGCTCACTCCTGTATGCCAGATCTGGGCCACAAGCAGGCCATAGCAATGCCACATGTCAGCCAAGAGCAAAGAATAAACCAGAACTGGACCTTATCTAAGCCACAAAATCTGTGTATATTAAATATGGAGTTATCTCAGCCTTAATAAGCCTATTAACAAGCAGAATCACTGAAGAAAAGAAGAGAACATGAAAAGAGACGAGAAGAAACACAAGAACTACAACTGACTTCAGGCACAGCCTTAGATCAAATGACCTGAAGATAAAAGACATTAAATCCCTCAAGATCTCAGCAGAGGAGGATTAAACAACTCCACAAACCGCATTACCAGCTTCACTTATTACTAACCAGACTGACTTGATTTCTGTCAGACGTCTATAAACTTTTATTGAGAATTAATGGGTTTAACTCTAATGTGTTTCATTAGAAGTCACCATAACAGTGATTAGTGTTTCCATTAGTTGGACTCTTAACTCTTGTTACATCTTTTGTCTTTTTTGGCCGCTGTGACAGTGTTAGTCAAACACATTTGAAGCAGCAAAGAAAGCTAAAGTGAAACGAGATCAGGTGATGAAGGTTACCTGTTGATGGCTTTATAATCATCATGACAGACGGATTCACTGAAGTCTTTTGAATCTAACAATTGTGTTGTACCATTCATATATTCACATCACAAACCCTGTGTTACTGCAGCATGAGATCCAGCAATATTATAACAATCTTTTAGGAGATTTTAACAAACATGAGCACGAAAAGTTAACCTACAATGACACACACAGATATCAACAATCAGCACATGAGTCCACTTGTGCCAAATGTGGGCCGGATCTGGGACGTCAAAAGGTTGCTATGTGGGTAGAGTACTCAGTTACTGTAGATGCCAGTATGCATGTAAGAACATGTTTTAGTTAAATAATAAACACAAACTAACATTGATATATCACTTGATACATACATTTGTCTATTATCTAGAATTTCTCACCTGATATATCATTAGATAACCCCCCTCAACAAAACAAGTATACACTAAACCCCTGGACGTAAAGTGCATTGCTCAGAGTTTGCTCTTTCACAGCTCATTTAATGACTTGATGTTTAATTTAGCTAACAGCTTTGTTTCTCCAAGAAGTCCTTAGAAGTCAAGTCACCTTTATTAATATAACGCTTTTACAATACATATTGTTTCAAAGCAGCTTTCAGTGAAAACAGGAAATTAATAAAAAAGACAAAGTTTGTTTCTGCTGTTCAGCAGATCTAGAATAAAGTCATTGTCCAGTATAAGTAAGTTCATCTTGGATTCATTTCCGTCATAAAAATCATTAGTTATTAATTTAGCGGCCGTTTACACGACACTGCTTTCAACTGAAGTAAACAATTGAGAAAGAAATGAAATAATAATTGTATGATCATGTAGATAGCAGATTATATTATATTGAAATGTTTGACCGTCACAAGGAGACACTTTGGAGATACAGGAGCTTGGGCAAATTCTCCATGTATTCTCATCTAACTCCAGTCTATGTGTAACAATGGAGGTCGTAATGAGATCTTTCCTATGGCCATATGTGTGCATGCAAACTTTCAAAATAAATCAACCGGAAGTTTCTTCGCCAAAGACGCACTTGCTCCATTCTCCCACTGTGTGCTGTTTGTTCTAGGCTTTCTGTTCGGCATTGTTCTGCTGTCTTGTGTGTCAATCACTTGCATTCAGGCATTCATGAGCCAGCCATTCAGTCATCTCTCGTTTCCTAAATCTCATCATCCCCTCATACACTCCCTCCAGATGGTTCTGTTTGCATGGACGTGTGTTGGCGTAGCTGTGACGTGCATCATCAGTCGTGTGTCATGCCTGAGAGAGTACAAGTGTTTGCATGAGTGTAAATGTTCCATCTGCAAGATCATTAGCACTATTAATTTAGGGAGCGAACAGAATGTGGGGAGAGACTAAAAAAAGATAAAGTTTGAACCACAAATAACATTATGTTACTGGAGACAGGGGCATTTTGGAGTAACAAATCATTATACCATATTAGTGAATGTATCAGGAGGAGTGTACACTAATGATTGTGTGTCAGATATAGTGTACACTAATGGATATCAGATATAGTGTACACTAGTGGATATCAGATATAGTGTACACTAGTGGATATCAGATATAGTGTACACTAGTGGATATCAGATATAGTGTACACTAGTGGATATCAGATATAGTGTACACTAGTGGATATTTATCACATGGTGTACATGAGCGAATGCTTCAGAGAGAGTGTACACTAGTGAATATATATCAGGGGGAGTTTATACCAGTGAATATATATCAGGAGGAGTTTATACCAGTGAATATATATCATCAGAAGTGTACACTAGTGAATATATGTCAGGAGGAGTTTTTACTAGTGAATATATATCATCAGGAGTGAACACTAGTGAATATATATCAGGAGGAGTTTACACTAGTGAATATATATCATCAGGAGTTTACACTAGTGAATATATATCATCAGGAGTGAACACTAGTGAATATATATCAGGAGGAGTTTACACTAGTGAATATATATCATCAGGAGTGTACACTAGTGAATATATATCATCAGGAGTTTACACTAGTGAATATATATCAGGAGGAGTTTATACTACTGAATATATATAATCAGGAGTGTACAATAGTGTATATATATCACCAGGAGTGTACACTAGTGAATATGTATCATCAGGAGTTTATACTAGTGAATACATATCATCAGGAGTGTACACTAGTGAATATATATCATCAAGAGTTTACACTAGGGCTGCAACCAACGATTATTTTGATAATCGATTAATCGGACGATTATTTTTTCGATTAATCGATTAATCGGATAAAAAATTCAATTCGATTTTTTTTGTTTATTATGACTAAATAAAACCCGATTACACTTTATTTTAAGGTGTCCTTGTTACAGTGTAATTATATATTTAAGTACAGAGTAATATAAAGTAACTACATGTACTTACTATAGGAATAGGGTAGGATTAGGTTGAGGGTTAGTTGCATGTAATTATGCATAATTTACTGTTATTACTACAGTAAGTACATGTAACATATGTAACAAGGACACCGTAAAATAAAGTGTTACCTAAAACCCTAAATCAGGATATTTATGTGTAAAAGTGTACTTTAAAAAGTCAAAAGCCACACATTGAGTTTTACAAATATCAATATTTGCATTGTTTTTAATGATAATTAAATCAACGTGTGGCAGTACCACACGTCTTCACTAGGACACAGGAGTTTTCCGGTTGAGCGAACGCTGGCGTGCCTGACTGCCGCTGTTCTCCGGATGTTTGTTGAGATCTGGACTTTGGACCTTTTCTTCTCCTTGTCTCATGTTTTGATTGCCTCCAAAACGACATCCCATATACTGTTTTGGATGATCCCTTCAAGCTGGATTAACTGCCTAACGCGAGCTTTCGCCACCGTGCAACGGGCTCCTTCTTCCGTTTTCCGTGAGTAAGTTAACACTTTCTTTCGGTTTATCGGTGGCTGGTTCATACGTAAGTCTTGGCTGAGGTGGTCTTTGAAAGGGTTGCCTTTTCATATACTTGCGCTGTGAAGTGGCTTAGTTGCTCGGTGTGCTGGCTAACACGGTTTTTAAAAAAAAAATCTGGCTAGTTTTACAGCGAACAACGTCATACGCGATAGGATGCTTTTTCTTCTGATGCTCGTCGTGGGTCTTTTTTCTGACTTTACTGATTTTTGCTCGGTGTCCCAGGTCTCCTTGTTGCCTTCAGGCTTGTGGATTTATAATATGGCTTTTTTTTATTCGTCTCTGGATTTGTATAATTTAAACCCAAAAGCCCGGCCAAAACTGCCTACCAGACTCTATAATCACTGTGTTGCTC